TTCACATAAAGTAAAACTGTGCCTTCTCAATGGCTGATTTTTCAGAAACAGATCACAAGGACTTTCTGAGATGCCTCTGGGTGAACTAGAACCTTCAGCCTTTTGGATAGCAGCTGAGCTTATTAATCATTTGCATCACCCATGGACTCCTTTTATGTTTTTATTGCTCTTTAATTCCCTTGTGAATTCCTAAGCATTTATCAGAAATTAGCTCAAGTCATCATCACATGCTTGAAATTTTCCTGTCCCCGCCCTTTTATCCTTACTTGTCACCCCATCCAAACCTAGGCTACATTTCCTCCTTTATGTCATTGATCATACTTTCTATGCAGCATTTACAATGACAACAAATTGAAAGTATGTTTTTTGTCTATCCCTCTTTTCAACTCTAACTTTGGTAATACATGAAATATCCACTATATGTACGCAGGGAATTTATCTGTCTTATTTGCTTCCACTATGTCTCTGGCATCTAGAAAATGCATAGAACAAAGTAGACTCACAATAAATATTGTGAAGGAATGAAGTACTTGGAATGATTTGTAAATATTCAGATTCCCAGGTGTTCTGGTTACCTCGTGCCGCTCTGACAAGAAATATACCACAAATGGGATGGCCTTAACAAACAAGAGTTTATTCTTACAATTTGGAGGCTTTAAGTCCAAATGCAAAGTGCCAGGCTCTAGGGGCTGGGTGAAAGCACCTCAACATTGGGATACAGGTCTGCCTTCTGCTCCCGGCCCACTGGAGCTAGAGGCATTTCTTTACTCAGACAGCTGCTAGCTGCTGAGGTTGAGAAGCCCCAACATTGACAAGTAAAAAGGCACAGTCCCTCTGTTACCAAATCACATGGCAGGCCATTAACTTAAGTCCACTCTAAGTCCCAAGGTTGGCAGAGCATAGTAGGCTGCTGAGCAATGACACAGCTACATACAGGGTCCAAGCGTGCCATAGGCTAGAGACCATTCTCAAAACTTCTCCTTAAATACAGGAAGCAGACCACATCCCAAAGGCAGCTACTCAGCTGCTTGTGGTAGATCCCACCATGGAACTGATTGCCAGTGTCACCATGGGGAATAACTACCACCAGCTGCCCAGCCACTCAACCAGGCCCAGCCAAGTTGACACACAAACATAACTACCACACCAGGCTTTATCCCTAGAGATTCTGATGCATTTTTAACATGTATCCTAGGTAATTACAGTGTAAATTGCCCAAAGACTAGATATGATATGTGTGTGCTTCTTGTTATTAGGTACTGACCCTATGGAGAACAGAATAAAACAGTGTCCAGTCCTGAGGCATCCTCACAATCCTTGCTATCCTTGCACCCATCATTGCAGCCACTGTGGCAATCCATCTCATTGAGGGTCTTCTTTTTTCGCTGACCCTCTACTTTACTATGGAATGATCCCTTCTAACAACATGACCAAAGTATGTGAGATGATGCCTAGCCATTCTCTCTTCTGTGGAGCATTCTGGATGCACTTCTCCCAGGAAAGATTTGTTTATTCTTCTGCCCATGGTATTTTTGGTATTCTTCACCAACACCACAATTCAAAGGCATCAACTCTTCTTCATCGTCAGTCTTCCTTATTAATTGTCCAATTTTCACGTGCACATTACATGACTGAAAATACCATAGCTCGAATTAGGAGCACCTTAGTCTTCAAAGTGACATCTTTGCACTTTCAGTAGTTTAAAGAGGTCTTTTGCAGCAGATTTGCCCAGTGCAATACATTTGATTTTTTGACTGCTGTTTTCATCGATGTGGATTGTGGATCCAAGTAAAATGAAATCCATGACAACTTCAATCTTTTCTCCATTTAACATGATGTTGCTTCTCTTCATTTTGGGAGAATAAGAGGGAGAGGGCGTAGACTGAGTGGTAAAAAGAAAAAAAGAATGATATACGTAGCACTTTATTATTATTATTATTTTTTTTAAACCACTATTCATTTGTTTTGCAATCCGTTGATTCTTCCCCTAAAATTCATCACAATATACTATGCTATGACAAGCTATGAAGAGGTCTGGTAATTTTGCTATGTTACCATGGGCAAAAATGACGTGTTAACATTATACATATTCTTAGACTTACACAAGAACTACATTCTTTCAAATTTGTGTTAGCGTTTTGTAAATGAATTTGTGTTTTAAAGTCACTTGAGAATATGTCAATTAAAATAACTGAAAAATTCTCTTGAAAGTTTAGAATCTTTCTGTCACAACAAATAAGTATTTTCTAATCCTTAATAGTTTCTTGAAACGTCAATTCAAATTTTCTTGAAATGGGGAATTTTTAGGAGAACTAGAAATATACAATTATGCTATGTGGTAGACAAATTTTTAATAAATATCAGGAAAAAAACCGTGGGCTTATGTCTTGAGAGTCTCCCTCTGAATACAATATAAAAAGTGGAGACTATGGAAACACATATAATAATGAATTACAGAACAAAGAATCGTTTTACAGAAAGTACAATTTTGTGTCACATGGATTAATAAACTTCTTCAAAGTCATGCCTTCAAAAAATAAATAAAGCCTTAAACTTTCTATATGAGATAATAATGAGGTTCTAAATCCTAAATTAATCCAACAGACACTGATGACAAGTTGATAATAGGCTAGAAGCTTTTATTGATATGGAAAGACAGTCCTTACCTTCAAGGAGCTCACAGTCAAGTTGTACAGATAGCATAAAACAAATGACTCTGATAAAAAGCAGACTGTGTCAGGAACTGTAATTGGTAATCATGGTCTCGAGATGTTTCTCATTTTCAATATTTGTATCACAGTCCTCATGAGTATTTTCACATTACAGTTACATATGTTGATTCTTCCTTCTTTTCTTTCTTTCCTTCACTTCTCTTCTCTTTCTTTCCTTTACCTTTACCTATCCTTCCATCCTTTCTCCCCTCCTTTCTTCCTCACTTTCGTCCTTTGTTCCTTCCTTGTTTGCTTGCTTTTCTCCTTCCTTCCTTCCTTCATTTTCTTTCTATCCTTTCCTTCCCTTCTCTTCTCTTTCCTTACTATGCCTCCCTCCCTCCCTTCTTTTCTTCCTTCTTTCTTTCATTTTCAATTATTAAATATAATAAATACAATTCTGTATTTTATATACCAAAAAAAAAACCACACTGCTGTCAAGCCAGATCTGACTCATAGTAACCCCTCCTTGGGTTTCTGAGGCAGTATCACTACAGAAGTAGATTGCCCAACCTTCCTTCAGAGGAGTGGCTGATGGGTTTGAACCGCCAGCCTTGTGGTTAGCAGTCAAATGCGTTAGGCACTATGCCACCCAAGCTCCCATATTTTATATTGAAAATATTTTTCCAGATCCTTCAATTTTTTCAAGATTTATTAAAATCAGTTTGTACCAATACGTGTAACTCAAACTCTATGTGTGTTTCCCATGTGTGTTTCCCTTTAGCATAATGGAGATAATAGCAGTATCTCTCATAAAGCATCATATTCAAAGATAAAGCATGTAATGTCCCTAATAAAATGACTGATTCATAGTAAGCAATCCCTAGATGTTGTCTTCCTTCCTTCTGTCCTCTGATTACTGGACATTTTGCAAGTTTCTTGCTTTGTTTACCCCTAGATATGTTAAAGTGTTAAAAAGGAAAGGTATCACTTTGAGTACTAAGGTATGCTTGATCTAAGTCAGGATCTTTTCAATTGCCTCATATGCATGCAAAAGGGAAACAATGAATAAGACTGAAGAAGAACTGATGCCTTTGAATTATGGTGTTGGGGCAAAGATTATTGAATATACTACCATGGACTACCAGAAGAATGAACAAGTCTGTCTTGGAAAAAGTACAGCCAGAATGCTACTTAGAAGGGTGGATCTCAAGACTTCGTTTCAAATACTTTGGCCATGTTATTAGGGGGACCAGTGCCTGGAAATGGTCATCAAGCTTGGTAAAGCAGAAGGGCAGCAAAAATGAAGAAGACCCTCAACAAGATGGATTGACAAAGTGGCTGCAACAATAAGCTCAAACATAGCAATGATTATAAGAATGACATAGGAATGGGCAGTGTTTCATTCGCTGTATGTCACTATGAGTTGGAAACGACTCAACAGCACCTAACAAAACAAAACAAAACTCACTGCCATCAAATCGGGTCGACAACAAGCATTTTATATTTTTCTGGCTGTTACAAGCTGTTAAAAACTTTGGAAATATCTTGGTAATGGGAGTATTTGGAATGGAGGAAATGTTATTTACTGTCACATTGTCACAATTTCATATAATTTTGGAAATAAAAAATGTTAAATGGTTATTTCTAGATGCTTCTCATATTGTGTGAAAAATTTGTCATATTCAGTTACTTCTGCTTTATATCAGCTTATTTTCAACAATCAATTAAGAAATTATTATGTAACCAACTTCCATATATTACCAAACAAAGGAACACCAGACTTCATTAGAAGAAATTGTACGATAAATTGTATTTGAGTCTAGGCATGTGAAATGAGGAGATCACAGTAGCATTTTGTAATAATGGCAAATCACTGAATGTATTTTGATCTTAGTTTTCCATTGTATGTAGACTGAGTAATCAATAAATTGTAACCACAAAATTATGTAAATATATCCTATACTGATTTAGTTATGATGATAACCCAATATTCCTATGAGAAAAAAAAATAAATACCATATATCCCTTGGCCAAGAAATTAAGTGATTCTATGAATTCAAGTTAACAGGCAAGAACAAGTGATTACAGAATATTACAAATGTAATTTGATCATATGCAGCATTGAGGTAAAGTATACAATTATAATAGCATAATAAAATAGAAAACTAAAATCTTTTTTCAGAAGCCCACCTCGCTACCTCCCTTTGCTTACAAAACTCATATACTTGACTTAATTGGCACTTCACTTTATATATGTCAACACAAAACTGGACCATTTTGACACATTTGCTCATTTTTGTCAGGAATATATTCCATGGCAATTAGCCATTTAACTTCTCTCTCTTTCAGGAACTTCTGGGACCTGCTTGGAAGAATTATACTGCCATTCTTTTCACCCATGCAGAAAAAATACAAGAAGCTGGGCTCACTGAAGAAGAATACATTCAGAGAGCTTCTGACACACTGTTAACTTTACTAAATTCTATTCATCACAGACATGTTTTCCAGTATAAAAACAGAAACTCACTTAATGAACAAAGACTACCAATCTTAGAAAGAATCATGGAATTTATAAAAGAAAATTACTACCAAGTTCTTACATTAAAATAAAGGGGGAAAACAAGAATTGGGTTTTGGAATCAGAAACCTGGTTTTGAAAACTAGCTCTGCTGGCAAGAATGTACATAATAAGAATTCCCTTACATGCCAAGTGAGAGCACATTAGTAAAACCACTATGGAAAAAATTTTGGCTGTTGTCTGTTAAAGAACATTAGGAATTCAATATCTCCAATGCAAAACTGACAACACATATACATATATGCATATATTCCTTGGTGCATATCCAACAGAAATGTGTACATTTGGAAAGACATGAACACAAATATTCATGGCAGTACCTAACAGCTACAACCTGAAACTGTCCAAATGTCTATCAACAGCACAATGGATTTAACAGTGATTTATTCACAAAATGGGATATTATACTATAATGTGAATTAGCAAACTACAACTACATAAAACAATACAAATGAATAGCCCAAACAGAATGTTGAAAGAAAAAAGCCAGACAAAAAAAAGTACACTTGCATTTTTCTGTGTGTTCAAATAGTCACACACACAGTACATATATATACATAAACATACAAACATATATAGGGCATTTTGTCTCTTTTTAAAAAAAGAAAAAAATCATATTACACACCACAGAATCCTGATTTTTTTTCTTTTACTTAATATTATATTATATGTTGTTATTGTGAGGTGCCATCAAGCCAGCTATGACTCATAGCTACCCTATGTACAACAGAACAAAGCACTGCCCTATCTGGTACCATCCTTATACTCCTTGCTATACTTGAGCCCATAGTTGCAGCCACTCTGTCACTCCATCATATAGAGGGTCTCCTCTTTTTTGCTGACCCTCCACATTACCAAGAAAGATATCCTTCTCCAGGGAATGGTTCCTTTTGACAACATGACCAAATTATGTGAGATGAAGTCTGGCCATTCTCACTTCTAAGGAACATTCCAGCTGCACTTCTTCCAGGACATATTTGTTCATTCTTCTGGCAGTCCATGGTATTTTCAATATTTTTTGCCAACACCACAACTTCAAACCATCAACTCTTCTTCAGTCTTCCTTATTCATTGTTCCACTTTCACATGCATATGAGGCTATTGAAAGTACCATGGCTTGTGTTGGGAGAACCTTGGTCCTCAAAGTGACATCTTTGCTTCTTAACACTTTAAAGAGGTCTTTTGCAGCAGATTTGCCCAGTGCAATATGATGTCTGATTACTTGACTGCTGCTCCCAGGGGTGTTGATTGGGGATTTTAGTAATATGAAATTTCTGACAACTTCAATCTTTTCTCCATTTATTGTGATGTTTGATATTGGTCCAGTCATCCTCAGTCTGTGGGTATAACCTCAGGAGAGCTTCTTCATCATCTCTAGTCATTGTACATAATGTTTTCATTGGTACTGTCAAGATCAAATCTGAGCCCACATCAATATTCAGGTAATTCTGAGAAAGTAAAGACACCCTGTGGCCATGGTAAGTCTCCTCCATGTGCATATATGCACTACATTTTTAATATAGCAGAAAGATCTGTAAGTAAGCAATAACTCGCCAATAGCAATTCACATCATTCAACTGGAAAGTAATAAGGCAAAAGGAAGTGAAGTATCAGAGCTCATATACTAATGGTATCCATATCCACAAGCTGGTGTGACCCTGTTTTGAAGGACTGGACTAATTCAGCAGATATGTTTAGAAAAATACATGGTGGTCATGATAATTTTTAGTTAATCTATCAACAGAGTCCCACAGGTTTACACTTATGGGTATGGCCTTCGTTGTAGGACTGGAGTTGAAATGATCTTTCTTTGGTGACACAAATTAATAATGGATTGTGACATCAGGAATCAAGCTTCACTGCCGTATTGTGGCTAAATGATCAACATATCACTGTTGCTTCCTTATTAGGAATTTATCCTCTTCTGGGAAAACATACTTATGTCTTAAAAAAATCTCTTTTCAAAATCACCTTAAGTTTTTCCTCTTTGATATATGTGCTGTCTTAAGAGAAAATGTTATTCTTTCATATGAAAACTGAAGGTAATAGAAAAATTTATTTCTACCAAAATTATTATCTTTTGTTAAAGTTATTGAGAGTGGCTTTTATTTTGCATTTTTCTTAATCTTTTTCAAAGAGAAACTCTGTTGTGGTTTTGATTTTGGATGACTCCTGCACTGTTCTTTCCAAATTCTTCAGGTGTGAAAAGTTAAGTGGGTTTTAAATTAACAAGTATCAGCCAACTATGTAATTTTAGGGCTAAAAAGTTAAGTGGATGTATATATTGAGAGAATTTTCTATTGAGATGTATGATATTTTAATGAGGAAATTTACAAAAACAAATGAAAAACTTGTCAAAGTAGGCTTGGTGTGAATGAAAACTTATCACATGAATATCATTGAGGAAATGACCAGACATTAATAATTGCTATTTGAACAGTTCTGTAGGCATCGTGCTCAATGGAAAGGCATGAAGAGTGGTTATCCCCTTCATCAAAAAAGATCGTTCCTTATTCTTGCAATTATTGAGCGCTGGGTTTGTTTTTCCTGCTGTTGCTAAGGACAATAGCCTGCCAGATAGGAAATGATGTTGATTAAGACATAAAATAACACTTACACACATTTTTTCACTCAAATGTCTAGAGAACTGGGAATAGTATGTGTTATGAGGGAGGTGGGAATTAGGAAAAGGGAGGAAAAAAAAAAGGGAATAGAAAAGGGTGACAAATACAATATACAATAATTAATTCACACTCTGAAATTCCAGATGGCTCATTTTCAAACCAACAACTATTTCACTGTTCTGGACCCTTTATCCAAATTCTCTTTTGGATTTTTTCTGTTATGAATTATGTCCGCCAAGACTTATCCAATGGAAAAACCATAACTATAAAAATTTCAATAAACAAGAATGTGTAAGTCACTAAATCATTCCCATCCCAACAAGTTGGTATCTTAGCAAGATGCAGTTTTCTGCAGAGGTGTATTAGGCATCAGCAAGTATCCTACTTTTCATTATTATTGGAAAATTTGAGGTTATCATACAAATAGCACTAAACTAAGGCATATCTATAAGAGTTGTCCCTGTGAATTTTCTATCAGCCCATCTTTCTGCTTGATCATCTCTCCACCTGTCTGCTTCCCTGCCTGCTTAGGTTGGCTTTTGGGTAGCATAGTGGTTAAGGCAGTTGACTGCTAACCAGAAGGCTGGCGGTTCAAACCCATCAGCCATTCCTTGGAAGGAAGATGGGGCAATCTACTTCCATAGTGATACTGCCTCGGAAACCCAAGAAGGGGTCACTATGAGTCAGGTCCGACTCGACAGCACGTAACAGCAACAACAACAATCTTCAACAATAACGCACTACTCAAAGAATCAAGTGGGGATGGTTCTTTTGAAAAAGGCTTCTGGCAACAGCAGCAGCCTGGTTTGGGCAAGAGAATTCTTCCAATGAACTCCCACAATAAAAGGGGGAAAAAAAAAAGATAAATTATCTTTGTAACCACTCCAAAGTAGCATTTGATGATCTCATTTCTCCCTTCAGAATCCCTTAAATTCTCCGCTGAAGGAGCTAGCTTAATTTCCTTAGAAGAACTACTGGAGCTTCAATTGTTGCTCTGGTGGCATAGTGCCTAAGGCCTTTGACTGCTAACCAGAAGGCTGGGTGTTCAAATCCACCAGCCACTCCTTGGAAGGAAGGGTGAGCAATCTACTTCTGTGGTGATACTGCCTTGGAAACCCAAGGAGGGGTCGCTATGAGTCAGATTTGACTCGGCGGCAGTGGGTGTCTTTCCCTATATTTTAAGCAAAAGTTAAACTTTAAATTCCAATAAAAGAAACTGTATGAGCATTTAACTAGGAAGTATGTCATATTGGTGAAAAACACAGGATTAATAAGAGTTAGAAGCTCTAGATTTCACCTACTTACACA